CACGTTGTGTTCTCCCTCTTCTTTCTCATACATTCCGTCTGCACTTCATGCTGAGTCAGAAGGCAGACAATACTGGGTGAGCTCAAGGCTGACCCTTCCCCAGAGGCTGTTGGAGGGCTCCTGCTGGAGCTTGTCCCTCAGACAAGGTGCGAGGCCCTGCCAGCTCTGACCATCAGCCTGCCAGGCCACCAAGCCCTCTGGCTCTTTTGAGTTCAGAAATCAGGCTCCTTGTTTTCTACGGTGACTTTGCCAAGTGAATGATCAAATCTCAAAGGTGATGGTGAACCTGGTGGGAGGCACGCTGGGGAGATGTGAGGCTCCACTCCAGAAGTCAGCTCCATGACGGAGTGAAGGGGGAGCAGTTGCTTCTTTGGGGGCAACGACTGAACTCTGGCGTGTGGTTGGCTGACAACTGCCCACATTGGTGGCCTGGTCCAGTCAGCATCGCCCACCTTGCTTCTCAGGTTTGTCCACTTCCTTCCACTCTCCCAGCCGCCATCTGAGTCCGGGCCTTTGTCCTCTTGCCTTAATCCTGGCAGCGGTCCCAGGCCAGTCTTCTGCCTCTGGGCTCTGCTCCTCCAATCAAGGCCACTCAAGAATGTAAGCTGAACCTTAAAATAACATCACCTTCCTGAAATCTTCATATTTGGCCTCTACAACATTCTCTGTCCTCTCACCTTGGGAATTTCCATGAGGCATATTTAGACATCATTCTCTCTATGTCTCTAAACCTCTCTCATACTTTGCCTTTCTTTGTGGCTCTGGAGTATACTTCAAATTTACCTTCTAGTTTACCAATTTTCCCTTCAGTTATGTCTAATCAGCTATTTAATTCATCCACTGAGTTTCTCATTTAAATTCTTGTGTTCTTCATTTATGGAAATTCTATTTGGTTCTTTTTCAAACTGGTTCAGTCATTCTTTATTGTTTTTTATCCTGTTCGTGTTTTTATTGTCTCTTATTACTTCAGTCATTAAACTTTGTTAGTTGGCATTCTGGAAACTGCAGATCTGATTCTGCTCTCTGTTGTTTCTCATGACAAATGCACATGACAATTTATTTCCTTGCACTCTTTGGGTATTTTTCTCCTCTGCGCTCATGTTCCTTGGAACTTTATATAGGAGAATTCTTTGAGACCTGAATCAAAAGCGATGATTGGATTTGCTTCTGACTGGCATACAGCTGCCTTGGTGAATGTTACAAACTACTAATTCGGGGACTACATTAATGTATGTATATTCATGGATTGAGATTTTTCGACCATGGATGTGGTATGGATTTAGGCTGCAAACTCACAAGAGACAGTTTTTGGTTTCAAGTATTTAGCACCAAGTGGCAGCAGCAATTTTCCTTACAAACTTCTTTTATGAAGTGGATTTATTTGTCTTTGTCCTTATACTACAGAGTTTTGAGGCTACCAGCATGCACAGCCCATCAGTGGCAATAGGGTTTTTGCCTCAATACTAAATACTAAATAAGTTCTTGGAATAATTTTGTGTATGTTTATCTCTTTCTTTGCAGTCAGTTATAACTTTCTGCTTACAGCACCACTCTCCTTATCTGGCATATTAGATAAGCACTCAATAAATTTTCATTGAGCTTATGAATAAACTATTACACACAAAAAACTAAGCTTATTAAAACTGTCTGTAAGGAAAGTGTGAATAATTTGTGAAGGGGTTAGAAGCTCTGATGAGTTGGGAGTATTACCTCAGTGCACTCACTAGAGTTCACTGGCTTCTTATGACAGCGTTTTGGGGGCTACCACCTGATTCTGGCTGTATCACAAAAAGGTGACTTCCCAGAAAAGACAGTATTATTACATCATTGCTTTTATTTAGCTCTCATCCTCCCTTTCCTGCTCCACGATCACATTCTCCAGTGCCACCAAAACCAGAAACCATGATTTATTTCTACTTCTAAATTTGTCTGAAACATTTTGAAGACAAGGGTCCCCATGTCTCAACTTCACCCAAAACAGAGGATCCCAAATCTATTCCCTTCCCAGAAATCCTCATTCAGCAGGTCTGGGGAGAGCCCAGCTTTACAGAGACTGACAGTAGTTCTCCAAGTTTATGATCCATGAGCCTCTAACATTTAAACACGGAAAGGATTTTTCTCCCATTAGACTAACGGAAATAACCCTTGAAGGCTACAGTAACATCATCATCCCCAGTATCATCTTATCATCAACCCAAAGCCAGGCCTCACTCCTGACAAATGCCTCCGTCTTTTCATGTTTCTTCAGCAAGTTATTTCCGGAAATCTGGAGTATGCATTAAAATAACACAACAACTGTAATAGCTCGGCCTCAGGAGCAGCCTTGCCAGCACTGGCAGCCACAGCGCAGATGGAAAATGAAACGCATCTCCACGTTTTAGAGGCAGGGGATCCTGAACAGTTTTCTAAAAATTAAATGCATTAAGTCGTCAGAATGTGTTGTTCCCACGTAGAAGTAGCAATATGCAAAGATGTAATTCATCTGCTAAAAATGTTCTCAAACTCAAAATATCTGTTTGGATGGACCCACACAACCCATAATTGTGAACCTGAAGGTGGAGTCACTGGCTTCACTCCATTGACCACTTCATATGAATAACATGCTCAGGGCCCCCACTACCGGCTTTGGTGTACTTCCCCCAGACTGCAAGCCACTAACCCCCACCCCACTTGCTGACACATGCGTAATGATATGTTCTGCCACCTCACCGTTCGCATTTCTGGTTTCTCTTTTCCTCCCCTATGTAAACTGCTGTGACTTTAGGGTGCTATCACTTCCTATCCCTTGGGGTGTGGTTCAGGGCCCGCAGCAACAGCAGCATCTCCTGGAAGCTTGTTAGAAATGCAAAACACGGCTCCACCCCATGCATCTTGGGGCAGACATCTATGTCCAAAGTGATTCTTAAGCAAGCCCAACTTGAGAAGCACTGATGTTTTTATTATACAGCAAACTTCTCAGAAATGCTGCTCTTACTTACCTAAATCCTCTCTTCCTCAAATTCTACCAATAAATGTTTTCTAGGTCTCTTGCCTCAGCAAACAGTTACTTCCATGGCCATCTTCAGTATGCCTCTTAGTTACCCTCTCAAAATCCTTGATTTGTACTCTTCTGTTGCAGTATACACTTTCCAGTTCATCTCTAATTAGAAAGCACTCATACAAGTCTGATAGGCAAATAAACAGTTATATATGTATGCTTTAGTCCCTCATGCTGTTCAGTCCTGGGCCTCATGGGCATTTAGGGAATATCAGTTCACCACCAAGGATGGAAGCATGGACTATGACTGCCCTGTAAGCCAGAGCCCACGTGACTATTTTCTAATCCTCACTCAAACTAAACGGCACAAAAAATGGCAAGATGACATGCGTGTTCAGGACATTTTCCATACAGAAGAAAAGTTATCAGTATCAAATAAAGCAAGAGCAGACATTACCAGAGTGATTTCTCTACGATTTTGGTCCTGAAAACCTCTTCTTGGTCCAGGTTCACGGTGCAATAGCAATCTCGCATCTTGTTTGGCCCCGGATAAGTGGGAAGATTTTTGGCTTCACCTGAAAAGCAAGTGTAACCATATCATCAACACAGCATAGAATTATTTCGTTCTCTTGCTAACCACAGACACATTTACAAATAACGGATTAATTTCATAGCAATGCACCCACTTCCAGTTTTGTACATTCATTGGGTCTTTACAAAGTCTTGGTTTTCTTGCTACCACAAGTCAAAATATTGATGACAACACCGTTTGTACTGTTATGATGCAAAGTAACATACACATTAACCGCTAAAACAAATTGATAAAAGTAGGAGTCCATTGGCCTACGAATTAAAGCTTATTTGTTTGGTTTTATCACAGTAGTCCCTCTAATTTTTTTAATGTTTAAATTATGGTTATATATATATATATATTTTATGATGATAAATTTATATATATATAATATCTAAATTTGTCATCTTTTTTTTTTTATTTTTTTTTTTAATTGGGGAATTGGGAGGATGGGAACAGTGGTGGGGAATTGGGGGAAGGGGAACAGACAAGTTGCTGTCGTTTTTTGTTCTTCAGTCTAGTAGTGGAGGACGTTGCTTCACCAGCCCAATTTGGCTCCATCATTGCGCTCTTCCCGGGCGAGGCAGATCAGTCGCCGGCTTCTAGACGGCCGCTCACTGCAGCTGATGGCTGCTCATGCTGGCTGCTGGATACATACGGTAGCCCATGGCAACCCACTGC